AACATGAGGGATCAGAAAGATTGAGTGGGGAGGGGAATAGAGGAGCAAGAAAAGAGACATCAATAGAGGGAGCCACTGTAGGTTTAAAGAGAGATCTGGCACTAGGGCATTGAACAGAGATCCACAAGGATGACCCCGACTAGGAATCTCCCTTATAATGAGACTGATGACTGCCTTAAATGCCATCCTAGAGCCTTTCTCCAGGAGCTGATGGAAGCAGAACCAGAGATCCACAGCTAAGACCTGAGCCAAACTCCTGGAGTCCAGTTTCAGAGAGGGAGGAGTGATGAACAAAGGGGTCAAGACCACGCTGGGAAAACCCACAGAAACAGCTGACCTGGGCAAGTGGGAACTCATGGATCTCAGTCTGACAGCTGGGAAACCAACATAGGACCAAACCAGGCCCCTGGAACGTGGGTCAGCTAGGAGCACTGGGAAGTCTATGGGGCCTCTGGCAGTGGAACCAGGATGTATCCCTAGGGCATAAATGGACTTTGGGAGCCCATTTCCCATGGAGGGATACTCTCTTATCCTAGAAGGCCCTACCCCCAATGACTTGACAGACTTTGATAATCCCTCATGGAAGGCCTCACCCTCCCACCCTCCCAGGGGAGTGGATGGGGGATGGGATGGGGTAGGTAGGTGGGGGCTATGGGAGGATGGAAGGGAGAGGGAGCTGGGATTGATATGTAAAATAAGATTGTTTCTAATTTAAATAAAATGTATAAAACTAAAAATGTGGACTTGTCCCTTGTACAGTCACATGTCACATAACAGTGAGGTTATATTGTGAGAAATGTATGATTAGATGACTTCATCACTCTACAAGTGTCATATAGTATAATTACACAAAGTTACACAGATTGTCTCCCATATACCTGGGTTATATTATACTTTGATGGAACTCTCATTGTATGTGCAGCTCACCGTTGATTGACAGATTATCATTTGGCACATTGCCTATACACTCAAGACTCTGTAGGTCATTATAAGAGTTTTCTTTGTAACAACGGATGGCGAGTTAACAATGAGCGTGTTATTTAATTCCCCCATACTTGTGAATTTTCTTAAATCTTTTACATTGTTTTGTGTTTCTTAAGATCCCAAACAAACACTTTGGTGTGGTTCTAGTTTTCTCAAATTAGCTGAGACTTGTTTGTAGTTCACCATGTGAATTATCCTGGAGTGTTGTGTGTGCTCGCTCGAGATGAATGTGTATTCTGCTATTTTGGGGTAGAAAAACTACTTATTTTTGCCCCATTTGATCTAAAGTGCACTTCAAGACCTTTGTTCCATATTGGTTTTCTGTTGATATGCTCTATAATTGTTGGCAATGAGCTAATAGAGCCCATTACTCTCTCTTTTTTAAATTGTTTCATTAGTAATCCCCTAAAATTTGCCTTATTGTGCTGCTTCAGTACTTAGAATTCATATATGTTATTGAGGAATTTTTCTATAAGAGTTTTTTTTATAGTTTTTGACATAGTAGTTTATTTCATCAGATATAAGGCAAAACTCTCTTTGCTTTGTGGGTTTCTACTTGGATGGAATACTTTCAGTCTTACTTTTAATTTGGGTGTCCTTAGTGGTGAGGTAGTCTTTATAGTCAGCCTACACTTGACTTTTGTTTTTTTCATTGAAGGAAATCTTTCATATTGTTTGATAAGCGGATATTATCTGTTATACATAAGATACCCATTGGTAGATGATGAGTGGTTATTGTGACTAAATTTTATTCTAGTTGCTTTGTAGACTTTTTCCCTTTAATTTTTAATTGGGATATACAGTAGCATGCTTTCTTATGACCTTTTCATTCATGCTTAGTTTTATCTAGTTGCCTTCAGAGTTTTCTATCTTTGGTTTCCAGCAGTTTGATGAGAGAGCGAGAGAGGTGTCTGCTGGAACAATGAATGAGAATTTGGGGTATTTTTATAAGGCCCCTCTGAGGAGTTTTTGTCTTAGTGTCTTTTTATTATTTTTGTATAGTCCCTTGTCCTTATCGCTTTAAACGTTGTCTTCTGGGGGCTTTTATTTCACCTACTACATTAATTGCTGTTTTCTGTCCTCTCTTATCCCTTTATTGGTCTCATTTTGGATAGTTTTTATCAGTCAACTCTCCTTCTAGCTTACTGTAGAGTCTTCTCACGAAGGAATTCTTCACTTTGATAGCATAGTTTTCATTCTAGAATTTGCATCTGACCGTTTACATTATTACTATTTTCTGTTCAAATTCCCGCTGTGTTCATGAATGATGTCCACCTTTTCTATGGATTCTGTATTCTAATATTATTTCCAGCATTTTAATTAAAATATAATTGTATCATTCCTTCTGTCTCCCTCCCATTCCTTCCATGTTCCACCCCTCGTCCCTCCCAAATGTAATTATTCCCCAGTCTGTGTCATCTCTGAATCTAGGTGTTGTATTTCCTGCAATAGATCATTCATTTGTTGTTTTCATCTCTTTGTGCTATATCTTTGAGTTGTGTTTATACCTTGATGTGGAGTACACTTTCTGTCAGGCTGTTGTTGTTGAGAATTGGAACATCAAGCAAACCAAGAATTCAGATAGCTTTGGATTTTGATGTTGCTGTCATTGTCTTTAGAGCCACATAGTCATAAAAGTCTTCAAAGGCTATGAGCTGCTTCTGTGTTCCCTTGTAACTCGGGCTGGGTAGGGGACGCTGCTGTTTTACATACACTCTTCCCTATGAGGGCTACATGTATCTCTCCCCACTTGCTTGAGTCTTCGCATGTGGTTGACTTCTGATGCTTATTACTTGGTGATTGCTGCATAGGGACGTTTTCTTCCTTCCGGTTTTGACAGGTCCCATCACCTGGTCTTGAGAATGGGTCATCTTATGAGCTCTTGGTCTCCCCTGTCCATGGGAAGAAGTCTGCCTTGACCTCTAGCTGTGTATCCAGTTTGGGGGCAGGAGCTCCCCATGTCCTAGCAATGACGGATGCTTTGTATGTGTGTTTGGGTAGGGTCCTGGACCCCGGGTGTTTTCTGCACTGTAGACAAAGGGTTTCCTTCATCCTTGTCTGTAGCTATAATGACTCTTTGCCTTCATCTTAAGTAGCTTTACCTCCTCATGGTTTAAATAAAACTTTTACTCTTTTAGCAAAATCAGGAAGTCATGTCTGTACCTCAGCAGCCACAGCTTACCTTTTAATGTCTGCAAATATGCACTCCCCCAAAAGCAGGGGTTTGTTTTTCTTGGCTGTGTTTTCAAGTCTTCCAGAACACTAATGGAGGAAGGCTGTGGGCTAGGACTTGTGATTAAAAGCCTTCTTTGAGTCTGCATCTTTAGCTGTTTGCCATTGCACAGTTTATTAAAAATTTAACTGATCTCTGTCTGGATATGTAGCTTTGTTGATACAGTGTTTACCTAGAATGTGTGAAGCCCTAGTTTCAGTCCCCACAGTCATATAAAATGGATGTGATTGCATTTGTCTGTAATCCCAGCACTAGAGACTTGAAGCTGGAGGATCAGAAGTGCAGGCCATCTTTGGACAAACAGCAAGTCTGAGGCCATCCTTGGAGACAAACAGACAAATAAACAGCGCCCCCAATAATAAAGATTTCCCTTTAGCTATCAGTATGGTGCTACTTCCGTCTCCTGTAACTTCCCAGAGATGGAACAATTAGACTTGGTAGTCTTTGGAATTTAGATTGTTTGCCTGATAACTTCCCTTCTGACGAGCTCAAATTAAATTATGGTATTGTAGATTGTCATTCTTTTGTCATTGTTAGGATTTGAGTGATATCAGTTTTAGTTTTCTAAATATTTAAAAAAAAATTTAGTGGTTTTTTGGGATAGGATTTCTGTGTGTAACAGTTCTGGCAGTCCCGGAACTCACTTTGTAGACCAGGTTGGCCTGAAACTCACTCAGATTAAACTCTGCCTGCCCCCATCTCGTCCCTTTTTTTTTTTTTTTTTTTTTTTAATGAGCTAACCCCATGTTAGCTCGGGCCTTCCATCCATCCACCATGGCGGATGGCTAGAAAAGACAGCTGGAAGCATCTGCATAGAGATCTTATAGGCCTGCCCCCATCTCTTGAGGGCTGGGATTAAAGGGGTGTGCCACTGTGCCAACACTCCCATCAGTTTTCTAAATCTTAAGTTAATTATAGCTATTAAACATTAAAATTGTATTCATAAATATAATAGAAATAATGACAGTAAATGATACAACTTTCTAGATGTCCTTTATCTTAACCTAGTTTTCTTTTTGATTCATTTTATTTATTTTCTATGTGTATGTGTGTCTGTGTGTGAGTATGAGCAAGCATATATGTGTTCACAGAAGTCAGAAGAGGGCATCAGAGCTCCCGGGGCTGGAGTTACAGGCCATGTGAACCACCCATGGGTGGGGCCTGGAAACCCCCAGCTGTGGTCTCGAAGAGTCACCAGCGCTCTTAACTGCTGAGATAGCACCATAGGTTCCAGTGTTTTAATTTTAAACTATACCAGGTTTTACTCTTGTGCTCAACTCCATCTGTTAGGCTTAGGATATCTGGCAGTGTTTTCTTTTTACAGTTAAGTTGTGTTCAGACTGGTGAACAGATGTGTTTATCTCTGTGGAGAGTCTCGTTCACTCCAGTTGACACTGTGTCTCTGGTTTTTAACCCAATAGGTGATGGCTTCTTTGTGGGGATAAAACTGTCTTCCTGTATTTCCAAAGCTAAACTGTTGAAAAATAAGAGTAGTAGTAGTAGTAGTAGTAGTAGTAGTAGTTTAGTTTAATATTCAAGGGAATGTTCTACAAGCATAATTTTGTAATTAATATGTATATTAAATAAAGATAGAACTAGTTCTAACACTTGAATGATGTAATATGCCATTCAAGCCAGATCTTATTCTGTAGTTTATAAAATTAAATTTTTACTCTTTTAATCTCATCCTGTGTGCTTTGATTATACAATTATGTCCATGGATTGTGATTTTCTTTGATCATCAGAAAACCGATTTTTAAGTCCACCCCGTTTCGCCTCACAGGAAGCTGCACCAACAGTTTGAAATGTACAAGGAGCAGGTGAAGAAGATGGGGGAGGAGTCTCAGCAGCAGCAGGAACAGAAGGGCGACGCCCCAACCTGTGGGATCTGCCACAAAACAAAATTTGCTGATGGATGCGGCCATAACTGTTCCTATTGCCAAACCAAGTTCTGCGCTCGCTGTGGAGGCCGAGTGTCATTACGCTCAAACAAGGTACATGCCTGAAAAGTGATCGTTTTCCAACAGTTCAGCTTGTTGTGAGTGGAACGGACCAGATACCTGGAATTACTTAGATAGAAGTTTTAGTTTTTTACCAAATGTCAGAGGTAATCTTAACTCACGGTTAAGGCTTTGCCTTTCGTTCACCGTTAAGACACTTAGAGATTAATTATCTGTCCTCTGTTACGGGAAATGAGAACTCTGTGATCAGAGAGGCAAAGATTGGTTTTTATAGCCACACAGCAGATTACTCTCAGAACTCTGATACAGATTTCTCTATGACTACGACACTTTCACAAAGTTGGTAGATCCTTTTTCTTCCTGGAACATTTGAAACAGGACCATTCCAGCTCTGAGATGCTTTTCTTCGTTTTGTAGCTTTGGAAGCTACACTGTGTTTCTGTTTTTGTATTGATGAAATAGCATTCAGCTATGGAATTTAAAGATCTGTTGTTTCATATTTATACTAGGCTCTATCTACACTTATCCACTTAGTGCATATGTAAATGTTACTCATAGAACACTTTGTCAAATTAGCAAAACCAGTATTACAGAATCACAGATGCTCTTCGCACTAAGTTCTTTTGAAGTTCTTTCCTAATTAGTATTTTTTTTTTTTTTCAGGACAGGCTTTCTCTGTGTAGTGTTGTAGACCAGCCTGGCCTGGAACTCACAGAGAGCTGCCTTCCTTTGCCTCCCAAGTGCTGGGATTGAAGGCGTGCACCACCACCTCCTGGCCCTAATTAATATCTTATCACCAACTAATTACTTAGATAGTTCTGACATATAGAGCTAATCTGTATGCACATTACTTGGGAATAATTGTAGGAATTAGTTCTCCTGTGTGGTTTCATGTCTTCATTTTTCTTATTGTTTCTCACAATGTTTTGTTTGCCCAGAACTAATCCTGTGTTTCTTTTCATGTTTCTTCTTGGTTTGATGATGGTTTGTTCATGCACGTATGTGTGTGTGTGCATTTATATGTATGTGCATATGTGAATGTATGTATTTGTGTGTATATGTTTGAGTGTATGTGTGTGTATATATGTACATATTAATTAACACATTGGTATAATTTTAAGTAAAAGTGATACAAGCAGAAATCCTTAGTCTTGGAAGGAATGTATTTAGTCTTCAATATTAGGTATAATGTTGCTTATAAATTTGCTAAGAATTCTTTTTCTTAAGATTTTGAATAGGCACTGGACCTCTCCAAATGCCTCTTGCCATCTATTGAGATTAGTTTTTATTTTTTACTTTCTTTAAGATGGCAAGGTGTATTGACTGACTTTTGAATGTTAAATCAACTCTGTTTGAAATAAATTCCATTTGGTCATGATGGATAATCAATTTATATGTTAATGATTTGCAAATGTCTTTCCTTGATTGTGGAATTAGCGTCACACTGGCCTAATGGAAAAGATGAGAAAGTATTTCACTCTCTTTAATGGGAGAGTTTGTATAGAACTGGTATTTCATTTTTTTGATGTCTGATCCACATGTCCTACTTGTGCTACTCCATGACACAAGTCCTAGTTTAGTTATTAAAAATATGTGGTAGATTTTATCTGTGATGTTATCTGGGCATGCAGTCCTATTCATCGGAAAGGTTTTATAGTACACTTTCAATTTTTGATTTGATTCAGTGTTTTTTTTTGTATCTGTGAATACGTTATTATAATTATATCTTCAAGAAATTTGTCCAGTTTCATATAAATGATTAAATTTATTAATGTGATGTTGTCACCTAAACCAGAAAGCCAGGCCGCAGATTTCTTTGCTTTATCACTTTTCCCCACGAGTTTTAACATTTTAATAATTTTTTTCTACATGTTGTAAACATCTGACCGGTGTCTTTTTAGACTCATTTAATTCTAGTGTCTTGACTGGTTCGTCTGCTCTACTCTTGGCTTCTCAGACACACACACACTGCTGTAGTGATTCCTCATCTCTCGAGTGGTTGAAGTGTCTCCTGAGTGACATCAGAGCATTTTATTTGTTCCTCTTGCCCCAGACAAGCCGAGCTACGGGCGCTTCTCCTTAGTGATCTCCATCTGTGCCTGCTCTGCTTTGGCTCTTCCTTCTGCTGCAGTCAGAAATAGTCCTCTCTCTAAAGTCCTTACCTACGCAATGAACAGTGAGTTGCTTCTGTCAACACCAGCGTGGTCTCCTTCATGACCTGCCTGTGGGTTTTCTGTGTGACTCCAGTACTCCTCTGTGATACTCTGGATTATACAGATCTCTAATCCAGTATTACTTTATTGTTAACTGATTGCATCTCCGTAATTCACGTTGACTGCTCAGTGCATGTTTCTATGTACTTGGTATGTAATGGGTCAGTATGTTAACTGTTGAGTGAATGACTGGAAGAAAAATATTGGTGTACATGTCATAGGCATGCTATTTTGAGATATGTATCATCACCATCATTTTTTAAATGTTGAATTTTAATTTATTTCTAATAATAGCTTTTCTTTATCCTAGAGAATTTTAAACATTTATGCAGTGAATCTGATCATATATCCATTGCCATGCTCTCTGCTTCCCCCCAAATGCCCCACAACCAGGCCTTCTCAAAACATTACATTGTGTATAATAACATAACATTACAGTATAATTAAAATTAAAAGGCGTGGGCTGCCCGCTATAGAAAAGGTAATATCCTAGTGGGTACCTATTATGAAAAAAAAAGATTTTCCTCCTCACCAGCAGCTCTCAACTGTCAGTGACTCTCCAGTGAGCCACGGGACTGAGAGATTCCCTCCCCTCTCTTTGGGAGAATGCTTGGCTGGATTGATTGATTGAGTAGTTGTTGGGCAAGCGGAAGACTGCATGGGAGTGACATGATCCACCTATGTAGGAGAATTCTGTTTGCACTCTTAAATAATAATTTAAGGTTATATTTTGGAATTAGCTTGCTAACTACTGTATTTTCCGCAAGGCTTAAAAAAAATGCACCCCTACTTTTAAAAAACCAGCCACTACTACCTCCTTCCCCCAGTGCATTAACCCCACTCAATCGCTTAAGCGCCAGCACTCCCTACCTTCTCGAATGCGATATGTAGCCCACTAACCTGCCAACTACATTGTTTAATTGGGTTGTGAGGTCGTCGCCGTCCAGATGGCTTTACTATGAGTACTCTTCCTTTGGGCTAGCTCCTCCTCCCCCGTTTCCGCCAAACGCCTGCACCTCTACCCTCAGAATCCCACCTGCTTTCATCTTCACCATCGGCCTTCCTATCCCTAATGTAGCCCCTTCCCCAACACCCCTTTCTAGATTTTTTGGATTCCACATGTGCTGCAAGTTAAATGCATGAAGTTTTGAGGCTGGGATCTGCGTCTGAGAGAGGAAACTGAGTTTGTCTTTCTGGGCCTCGTTATCTCACTCAGTATGCATGTATTTTTTTCCAGTTCCATTCATTTACCTAGATATTTCATTTTCATTTACGATAACACTTCAGTGTGTATAT